AGGAGGAGCCCGGGAGCAGGAGGAGCCCGGGAGCAGGAGGAGCCCGGGAGCAGTCGGTCATTCTGAAAGGGCAGGTTTGCCAGGGCTGGAGTGTGGCTATTAACAGAGACGCAGATGCTCAATTCTGAGTGAATCTGAATAGCCCCCAAAGTGCAGCATCCAGCCCTCTTCTCTGCTGTGTAAGAAGGACGCAAGTAACTGGGCCCTCTCCTCTGGGACCCCGCCATGCACCGTCCTCACCATGGGAGTCAGCCTCTCATCCTGCCATCGTGATACCAGGACTCAGACGGCCACCAAGGAAGCAGAGGATGCGCCTGACCCGGAGGCCACGCAGCTCCTGAATGGGGACCACCTGCCGCAGGGATTGTCCCTGCTCTGGCTGTGAGGCGGCCTCGTGAAGACACAAGCAGCCACACCGAGCAAGACACACTGCTGAGCGCATGCCGGCCATTCAGCGTTTATCAGCTGTGTCTCCATGGTTAGCATTTTAAGTATCAAGGCCGTGCATCCTGAAATTTTGGCCTGTTTCTCAGAAAAAATTACCTTACGAGGACACCTAGCATTTTGCTCTGCAGGAAAAGGCAGAATTGAATGGACCAGCTTTGACTGACAGGAGAAATTCTCAGCTCATCTGCACACCCAGTCAGGCAAGCAAACTGGCTCTCACCCCCCTCGCCCACGCGCTCCGTGACTCACCAGTCCACGATGTTGGTGGACAGTGCGGCCGAGAATCCCAGGACGTTGAAGCTGATCTCAGTGGCTGTGCACAGCGCCAGCCCTCCCATGACCGGGATGAGGGACAGGTTGACCAGCAGCCCTGGAGAGAGGACAGCACCCGTAAGCGGCGGAAGCTCCCTCCCAAGAGCTCTGTTTCCATCCCCTCTTGGGAAAGGAACGGATGCTCCATTCGAAACCAATACTTGTTAGGTTCTTTACACTGGAAGATAAAGCAGATGGAAGCCCATGTCTGCAAACAAGCCCCGTCCCCCGCAATGGTGGTACCTTCACGCTGCATGAGATCGTCTGGGAGAGGTTGGACCCCAGTCACGAGCGGGTGAGCCATGGAATCCTTCCTGGTTCTGTGAATGCTCATGTGTGAGGCGATGAGTGTGAAGGAGACTCATATGTCCCCATGGGCAGTGCACAAGAAAGAGGGGCAGGGGGGGTGGTGAAACCTAAAGCCTCCACATGCACCCACGATGAGCTTATTCCTGTTTCCTTCCGAAATGTAACAGAACACTTTTACGTGAAGGATTTTTTAAAAATCCATGGAACATGGCTCACATGTGTAATCCCAGTGCTTTGGAGGCTTAGGCAGGAGGATCACTTGAGCCCAGGGGTTCAAGAACAGGGCTGAGCAACACAGCGAGACCCCCACCTCTACAAACAATACAGAAATTAGCTGGTGTGGTGGCACATGGCCTGTGCTCCCAGCTCCCAGGGAGGCTGAGGTGGGAGAATCACCTGCGTGGGGGAGGTCGAGGCTGCTGTGAGCTGTGATCACACCACTGCACTCCAGCCTGGGTGACAGAGCAAGACCTTGCCTCAGAAGAACAAACGGAAACCTCTGAGATGAGTGAAGGCGGGAAGCCCACAGACGTGGCCTGGCCGAGACTCTGGCGTGGCAGAGGGACCTGGGCCCACGTGGATGGCTCCAGCCACAGGAACGTCCTCTCGTGTGCCATCACCTGCTCTCGTCCTCTGCCGGAACTCTGGTCGAATCACAGAAAACGCTTACGACAATCAGAGAGAGAACTGGAAACTGTGAATGCCGTTTCACCCTTCAGGGAGGACTCGGTTCTGCTGCAGATGTGCAGCTGGGGTGTCACAGACGCCTCCATCCAGCACCAGATTCCCATCCCCGCTGAAGGTCTGGAGTCTGGGGGGTCCCCTTGGCGGGCGCCCATTCCAGCTCATGCCCCTCTAGCCCCAGGAGACTGTTCTGCTCAGAAACCATTAGCGAATGCACCGGGGAGGGTGGTGCTCAAGACGGGGTCACTTCCCCAGGCTACCTGAGGCTCCGGAAGCTGTGTGCCTCAGGCCCCGGCACCTCCATTGCTCCCTAACGCCTCCCCCTTGGATTTCTTTCTGCTAAATGATATCAAGATTTTCTCAATGTTGTCAGCAAGAGCTCGTTTTCTAACATCTCATCCACCATGGCTGCAGGTCAAATTGACAAGTTAAACTTACTGGAAATAAACAGCTCCTTTCTGCATGGTTTGAAGGGCAGTAAGGTTCCTCTGTGTCATTCTGTTCATGATTTTTAGGATTGCTTTTTAAAGCCAGGCGCAGTGGCTCACGCCTGTAATCCCAGCACTTTAGGAGGCCGAGGCGGGTGGATCACCTGAGGTCAGGAGTTCGAGATCAGCCTGGCCAACAATGGTGAAAGTCTGTCTCTACTAAGAAGTACAAAAATTAGCCAGGTGTGGCGGCGGGCACCTGTAATCCCAGCTACTCATGAGACTGAGGTAGGAGAATCGCTTGAACCCAGGAGGTGGAGGCTGCAGAGAGCTGAGATCAAGCCACTGCACTCCAGCCTGGGCCACAGAGCGAGACTCCATGTCTTTTTTCTTCGCATATCCCGTACTTAAAGAAAGACTCCATGTCAAAAAAAAGAAAGCTATCATAATTTTTGTTCTTGTTCCACCACTGAAATCATTCCAGAAAATCCAAGTCTCGCTAGTACTTGAGTTGGAGGAAAAGGTCGTTGGGAAGCATTTGTCTTCATTGCTTTGAGGAGGAGTCTGCCTTAGCCAACTCAAAAAAGGTATACAAAAAATAAGCAAATGCTCACCAGGAGCTGTGCTCTGCGAGCCACACGCCATGCAATTCATGAGGACTTGGTCTTCCCAAGTGAAACTGTGGCCAGGAGAACCCGTGAAATGGACAGCGGCACCCACAAAGGTCCGTCTGGACAAAGCCCAGCAGAGCAGCGTGGAAGGCATGTGAGGTTGGAACCTTTTCTGGCATCAGTAAGAAGCTCACAGGCAACACTGCTAATTCTGAATTCCCAGAGTTTCAATTGTTTAAAAAAAAAAAAAAAGACTAAAGTATATTCACAGTAAAACACACACACACAATACAAAAACATTAGCTAGGCGTGGTGGCGCACGCCTGATGTCCCAGCTACCCAACAGGCTGAGATGGGAGGATCGCCTGAGCCAGGGAGGCAGAGGCTACAGTGAGTCATGATCTCACCACTGCACGCCAGCCTGGGCAACACAGCAAGACGCTGTCCCAAAAAAACAAACCAAAAAACAAAAACGGAGTTGATTTTTGGCCTTTGATTTTGTAATCACCTAAACATTTGTGCGGTTCTCAAGTGTACATGGGACCAGTCCCGCCTGCCTTGGACCCTCGGCTCTCCTCCTGCCCCTGAAGGCACATGCCTGCCTTGGCCTTAAGATCTTGCTGTTTTCTCAAACAAGCGAACATTTGTGCACGCCCACCCCCCGCCCCTCTGTGCAAGACGCTGGACTCCGTGGGCGCCTCTGCCCCTGGCTTATGCTGGGTATGCAGCATGAGGATGCTGGAAATCGCCTGTGAGTGACAGAGACGTGGGAGAGAGGTGGGGGAGAGGAG